AGGCAAGACCTTTGCGGATGAGGGCCGGCACGACACGGCCGACTAATAATCGTGCCATGGCAGGCCGGGCCGTGCAGGCATGATTAAGATGAGCCGTGCCGGGCCGGGCCGTGCCGGGCCGGCCCGTTTGGCCAGCTATGCTCTCGATGGAGGAAGCGAAGGAGCAGTTCCACCTCGCCATGGAAGCGGAGCACCTCGTGTTGGAGGTGCAGCTCAAGGTGGAGCATGCAGTCGCCGCCGCCTTCATCGAGATGTTTGTCGACCTTCATTGCGGAAAACCATACCATCGTCCATCGAGGATGAGCATGTGGTGACGACAAAACCGCCATAGAATCTTCATCTCCGAGCGAGAGCAAGGCAAGACCTTTGCGGATGAGGGCGAGCAGATGCCTCCCGCCGCAATGACCATAAGACCGGCGTCTCCGGCGAGGGGGTCACCCCAATCTTGTCGGATGAGTAGATAGATTTGAAAACTTTACTTTTTAATGCAGTGGTATCGTTCTAATCTATGAAATACTCCTCCGTAATTTAATATAATTATATCAAGTTAAAGAAAAGGGAGTAGTTTGCAATTTATGGGTGGAATGTACTTTGTAATTATAGTTTGTGTGATTAAGGGTTGGAGACGGTCCGTCGACTATAAAGACATATGTGACAATTTCGTCAATTTTAAAATGATGTGACCATTCAATCTCCCGAAGATGCTTATAGGAATAGAATATGTGTGCGTTCATAAGGATAAGGTCACGTGCGTATGTATGAATGTATTCGTCTGCACTGTGTTAAAAAGTACTCCCCCCGTAAGGTAGTAAGAGGCAAGGTTACCCGGCGGACAAATGGAGGCAGGTTCTCCTCTCCATAAACTTGTCCAGAGACAGTAAGAGAATCAGTTTTGCTAAAGATGCTCTATCGTCTCTTCCGAATTCTTCAGTCAGGATACATGGCGCAAGCGACGGAACAAGAAATTCTAAAAGAAAACGCGAACTACTATTATAGAGAATTGACAGCCCAGTACATGTTAAAATAGAGAGTCGACAGTCCTTTACGCCCCCTAGCGCGGACCGTGATCCATCTTCTTCTCCTTATTATCATCCTTGGCGCCGCCTGGAAGATGGACGCCTGCAAGATGAAGCTGGCGCCAGCGCTCCCTCCGCTCCTTGGCGTCCCTTATCAGCCATCGCTCCTCCCGCTCCTCGCCCTCCCTCATCAGCCTCGCCGTGTGCGCCTTGTTGAGCTTGTACGCCGCGAACGCCAGCGTGACGCAGACAGCGATACGCAGCGGCCGAATGACCACCATCGACCACCAGATCAATCGACTGTCGATAGGAGGCCCCTTAATTTCAGCGGCCGAATGACGCAGACAGCGTTTTTTTTATAATTTCTGTTGTTTTTGTTTTTCTAATGCTGAAAAATTAAAATTAGGTTCCCCAAATTTAAGAAATCCTCACAGATTTATTTATTTTTGTGATTTTTAAAAAACTTCACGCATTTAAAATACGTTCATGAATTTACAAGAACGTTTGTGAATTTCAAAAAATATATTTTATTTTTAAAATACCTTATTAATGAATATTAAATAATGTTAATTTTTAAAACCTATTCATGAATTTTAAAAATGTTAGGTTTTTTAATTATAAAATGTTCATGAACATTTTTAAAAAGGTTCTTCACAAACTTTTTAAAAAGGTTCACAAATTTTAAAAATGTTTATGGATTTGAAAAAACATGAATTATTAAATATATTTGCAATAAAAAACAATGATTTTAAAGAATGTTCGTGAATTTTAAAACCAGAAAAACAATGAAGAAAAAGAAAGCATGACAAAATAAATTCAAAAAGAAAGCCCGATGAAAACCTCTACAAACTGGTTGGAGAAAATGATACTAGAAAAAAATCGCAATGCAAAACAAAAAAAATATGAACTATAACAAAAATGAAAACAACATGTAGAAAAGCACGTCATCCATTTGAGAGGTAGATTAGTTGTTTCCCTCACCATGAATGGGTAAAGGCCCCTTAGTGCATGTACAATGGTGTTATCTTATCAGTGTCACACAGGATAAATGATGAAGTGGTGAAAATAGAAACCAGAAAAAGCCTTTGCCTTCTCTTAATTAAGAGATGATATTTAGTAATAAATCTCTGAGCACATTTATAGGAACATCTTAAAACTCGTTTTATAAGCATCTTTATTCTCGTGAGAGTATGGTAAATCCATTTCGTATTATTTCGCTTGTGAAATGTTTGGTGAATGATGAAATGAATGGGGATCTTTGCAACCCGTTTTTTGAACAAGATATTAGTGATGCTCTCTTCCAAACTAGCATGTTGAAGGCTCCTGGGCCAGATGGGTTTTCAGCTAGGTCTTTTCAGAGGAATTGGGGTTTACTCAAGGAGGAAAGTGTTCGTGTTGTCCATCAGTTCTTTAGTTCTGGAAGTATGTAGGGAGGGACAAATGATACAACTATTGTTCTTATTTCTGAAGTGAAGAACCCTCAGTTGATAAAAGATTTTTGACCTATCAGTCTATGTAATGTCATATATAAAATCATCTCCAAGTACTTTGTTAGCATGCTGAGATCTATGCGGGACGGTATGATCTTTCCTACCCAAAATGCTTTTATTCTTGGAAGATTAATTTCTAATAATGCTCTCATTACTTTTGATTGTATGCATTCATTGAGTACGTTGAAAGATACTCGTGGCAAATACTGCGCACATAAGTTGAATCTCGCTAAAGGATATGATCGTGTGGACTAGAAGTTCTTGGAAAGTATACTCAGAGCACATGGTTTTGCTCCAGCTTGGGTTAAGTGGAATATGATTTGGGTTACCTCATTTAAATTTTTGGTGCGTTTTAATTGCCAGCTGTTAGAATCATTCCAACATTTGTGTGGTCTCAGGCAAGGGGATCCCTTATCTCGGTACTTATTCATGTTTGTGGCCGAAGCTATTTCGTTGTTACGTAATGATGCTTCTGCTGGAGGGGTTCTCGAAGACTTCCGGACGAACAAACAT